TAATTTAATCGTGTTTTAAATTTATCACTCCTGAAAATTGTCCATTTTATTACCTTTCTTGATTCTTGAAAAGTGAATACTCGTTTCATACAATATAATAAAAGAAAATCAGGATAAAAATCAGTCAATACTTAACCTCGAAATTCAGAAACCCATTGAATCTACAAAAAGATTATAAAGAATTGTGATAAGTTCCAACATATAATAGATAAAGAATTTACATCATATGCACATGTTTGTGAGAATTTGCTAACCAGTAGGAGGCAGCCACGAATCTTCCTACAATAATGTTATCTTGTTGCACATGTAAGATTAAACCACATGTTTCTCATTATTTATTTGAACTCTTCAATCATCTTAAGAGACAACTCTTTAGATGTTTGCCTAGAAAGAGAAAAGAAGCGTAGTTAATAATTTGCTTCTGCTGCTCCTCTAAAGCCAACATTGTAATAAAACTTTAAAATTTTATATAAAAATTTAAAAGAGAAAAAGATAATGAAACTAGATATCACATTAGGGATTTACTGGAACGAAAAACTATATAAACCCTTGTGAATATAGGGAAGAATACTTCCTACCTTGTTCGAATGGTCTGTGGTCGAAGGTCTCGGCTTCGATGGGCTTTCGAAGTTCACCGCTTCGATGGGGGCCGAACGGGGCAACTTCAATTTTGGTCTTTGGATGTGTAGGTTTTCAATTTCTCATGGGTTAATACTGAGGTAGGACCATATGTACTATGTAGTTTATTTAGGGTTGGATACTTGGATTTAGTGGGATAGACATCAGAGATTTAGAGTTGGTCTAAAAATGGAAGAATAAAATGGACTCGAATGCTTGATGTTTGGCTAAAAAAAATTTAAAATTTAAAATGAAACAAATAATTGGGCCAAAAAATTAGATTAGAAAAAATTAAAATAATTTGATTTATTCAATATAAAAAAATAAAAAAATTAGGAACATTCGTTTCTTATTCGGTTCTTTCGAATCGTACCGTCGTACCCGTCGGTTCTTGATTCGGATACCCATTCGGGTATTTAGATTAAGAAGAACCGTCGGTTCGGTTCGGGAGTTTTGTCCAGCCGTAAAAAGAAGAAGAAGAAGAAGAAAAGGGAAAGAAGAAGAAGAAAATGGAAGAAAGAAGAAGAAAGTTTGTGCTATTTGCAGGCAAAAGAATGGAAGGAGGAAGAAAATTATAGCCAAAGGAAGAAAATAACATTTGCCGACAACAGGGAAGAAGAAGCGTCGGGGGAAGAAGGGGGGTAGGAGTTGGGCCAATTTTTTAATTTTTAGATTTTGGGCCTACTCTTTAGTTAGGCTTTTAGGAAAAAAAATAAAATAAAATAAAATAAAAAATAATAATAACTAAAGGCCCTGTTATGAGTTTATTGGCCCATCAATTGATTGTTTATACATTGGACCCCATCATCTTATCTTCTATTATTAAAAAATGTACTCTACATTGATCATATGAAACTCTTTTTGTTCATAGACTAATTTCAACAAAAAAAAAAAAAATCATCGTAGCCAATACTTATAATTGTGCCCGCACTGGACGAAATCTCTGGCTCCTCCCCTAATTGCATCTACTAGCTGTTAAGGAATTATTCTTTTTCTCACATGTGTTTTATTTGCATTATTTCCTTCTTATGTAATAAATAAGTTGTAATGTAGAATAGAAGACTCTCCAACACTGTTAATGATAAAGAAACAAACACTTCAAAATAGCAGTCCTACATTGGCAATGCTGTTAAAATTTTTCCATACAATTATTTTATTACATTAACATTTTTAACCATTTTTTATTTGATCTAACTTCTTATTCAAGAGAATCACAGATATCGAAGATAACTGCAATGTATTAGCTAATCCCAAATATTTCTACTTCAGAAAAAATTGGTATGCAAATTTGATTATTGTAGGAAAACAAGCACCTAGAACTGTCCATTATACTACTAGCCAATACCAGTATCTAGTTATAATGAATTTGGAGATAAATACATATTCACACACACACATTCGCTTTTCCTATAACAACTTCTATTAATATCTTCATTTTCTTCTCTTCGTTGTACGAGGTAACAAAGTGACAGCCGCATTATATGATGCAGACATCACAACAATTTACAATCAACTAAAACTCGGAAAGATATATTTTTTATATAATGCAACAGTTAAAGACAACAGAAGCGAATTCAAAGGCTCTCCTGAAGACAAAATTTGAAGCATAACTGACAAAACAAAAGTAGAAGAATTGAATGAAGATAATCTAAATTTCATCTTCTCAATATATCAGCTCACTCCATTAAACAAACTGAAAAGACATTGATACTAGTATGAATGTAAGTAGACTTCCAAATATACTTACTTTAAATTTTATAATTCCATTCAACTTTCAAGCTTTTTTTTGCGCAATATTTGAGGTCGATTTTATTTTAACAATGAGTCCTTTTGTACGTACCTTTCAAATGACTTTCATCAACACAATTAACTGAGCTCAAATAATGCATAAAGTCACGTATGCTTGCACCAAGTGCATGAGAAAGTAATGAAACTTGATACGGGAATTGATTTCAATGTGTCTCCTTACCCAGATTATTCTATTAAAGAACGTGACCATATGATGAAAATTTTTAAAAATTTTCTTACCTCTACGTGCTTTGTCATAACTGATTCTCAAGCCTAACTCACATTTCACATCACATATAATCCCTATTGGATTATATGATTGATTTAGATCATTCAATGTCCCCATATTATTTTGAAACTATGATTGAAAGTCTGCTATTTACACACAGTGTCCCCCCATTCGACACGTCGAATTTCAAATATTCACTCGTACATAAATATAAGCAAATTGAAATGGTAAACATGCCACACAAATTTAATTTATGCATTTTAAATACAACACCTTTGAATAACTTCTACATGGCAATTTAAGCTAGTTAAACAGACAATTAAAATGACTATTCAAACAGTTATGAAATGTCGATATTGATATTCATGGTGTACCTTTAAGTAACTTCTACAGGACAATTTCAAGTTGGTTGGACAGACAGTTAAAATGCCAGTTCAAGCAGTTATGAAATGTCAATCAATTTCGAATATCTTAACTGTTCACAACTGTCGAGATCAGATACATGATATATCATGTGAAAATATTCTTTTTGAAGCATTAAGTATGTTGATCGATATTCTACCTTGTGAATGACTTTTAACTATAGTTTACACAAATCTACATAAAATAAAAAATCTTCCAACATTTTCATGCTTTCAAATAATTTTATCATTATAATCAAAATTAATGAATGAAGAATAATTTGCAATGTAATGCTTTCTTAATATTTATGAGTTAAAACTACTAAGTTAATAAATAAATAAAAATTCGACATACTGTAAATGCTAACATCGAATTTGAAGATAAACTCACTATGATTTTAACTTTGATATTTCAATTCTTGTATGAAAAATTCACTTATGTTCTTTGAGAGAAAACTTCATTTCTTCAAGTCATGAAAATGTTAAAAAAATAATTAATTCTCTTTATTTTTATATATAATCTACCTATTATTCATTAAATAATAACTTAAATTCATGGTTAGCTTCTCCCGCATGTCATGCATCAAGTCTTGTCAGTAAGTCCTGTTTGATGGCCATTATTTGAGATAAACAATATTTGAAATAGTGAATTTTTGAAAAAAAAATGTCGTTAAAAAGTATGAAAAAATTTGTGTTTACGTGCAAAATATTTTATTGTGTAAATATACGATTAAAAATGAGTACATAGAAAAATGAATTTTGAATTAAAGGCCATCAAACATGGACTAAATCTATAATTTATAATATATTAAAATATCACATCAAAGGAGAATCATTTTGAGAAGATTTTAACCTCTCTATAATTCAATTATTTCAATAATTCCTTACTTTTCATTTTTCGATATGTAATAAATATTACATAATTATTGTCATTTATAAAATTTGTGTTATTAACTCTTAATTAATTAACATTCACATTAATCTAGATTCAATAAATTTTTACTATAAATTTTTACTTGATGAATCTTGAATTATATAAATGTAAAGTTATTATAGATGAATTTATTAACGAATGTATCTGGAAATTTTAATAGATGTTTAAATTTATATATTAACAATTAATTTTTATGTATCTAATATAATATACAAAAATTGCTCATTTATAGTATTTCATCATTAAAAAAAATTTGAATCTTACAAATTGAATTTTGAGAATACAATTTGAATACAATTTTTTTCTTTTAAATTTCTATACCAAATTTTATTTTCTTTAATTCGTTCTTAACTCATCAAATCCTTCAAAAATTGGTATCAAATATTATTTTTACATCACTTATAAAATAGTTTAAAATAACGTACAATGTACGTTCAACTTTGACTAGTATATTCAAAAAGTAATGAAAATGGCAAATTGGACTTTTTCCGCTCAAAAATGACATTTTTGCAAGACTAAAAAAAAAAAAAAAACAAACAAACAAACAAACAAACATCGATGAGTTCTTGGTGTTTTTTCAAATTAGTAACATCTATACAAATGCCCCTTTATACATTCCCACGTAGCTGCCAATCTATGTACAGATTAATTCATCAAAACTGCTTGAAAAAAGCTCAGTGTACAGAAGAAAATATTATTAGAAGGTTTACAAGTTCTCACATGGGATGGACCCCATGTGAATATTTTATTGCAAAAAATAAACCACTCACTCCACCCATGTGTCTTACCTGTAAAAGTTTTGTGATGTTTCCTCATGTACCTGTAGCTTGGTTCAAAATGCTTTGCATCATTCAAGCAAACTATCATCGACAAAACCTCCATGTCTTGTCAATGACGATATGTCAAAACCCACCAATCACAAAAGCAAGTAAGAATGTCATCTCAAGAAAAATGGTAAGGTGGGTTGACTAGGCCGGAGTCTCGATCATAATGCCTAATCTGGCTATCCATGTGATATCTCAAAAGCTGCAATGAATTTCCATTTTTATCAAACATTATAGCAAAATGTAGCTAACAAATAATTAAACTTTACTGTTAATACTTGATATTATAAATCTCAATTTCAACGCCCCGTGCTAACACAATAAAGACTACATCAGTAAGTCACGGCAAGCATCTCGAGCGGAGTTCAATTTACACCTCACAACATTAATTTCCATCTAGAGTGATACTACTATCAACAAATCCTCAGGAAAAATGCCATTATAATTTAGATCTCTGTCCCTGCAGGAATCATTAGAACGGCTGCTCCATGACAAAATAAATAGGATATACGGAGATTAAACCTCCACTAGAAAATGTTCTAGTTTTCAAGAGCGTTTCATGTTTCTCCACTTGTCCTTCAAATCAACCTGAAAACAGTCGTATTCAATAGCTTATGGTTATGAAAGAAAAAGAAACTAATCGTGAAGTGGGAGACACAAAGCTTATTTACTTGAGTTCTTCTGTCTGCAAATCTGTGGCCATACTTTTCTAGAATATCTTTCCAACTTCCTTCTCCACACCTTCAAGGGAACAAAATACACTAAGTTAATGCAATTTTCCTGACCTCTATATGCTAGGAGATGCAATCTTTAACAAGAAAATGGCAGAGAAGTCAAAACAGAAAAGAAGACAGAACATTGGATCCCACGCAGCCAACACTAATAAAACGAGAGAGAGAGAGAGATGTTCTCACGCAGCCAACAATAATAAAACGAGAAAGAGAGAGAGAGAAGAAAAAGTGGAACAAGGGGAAGAGCTTCTTAGCTATGATGCATGGAGACTCCAACACATATCAGGCACTGATACTCTCAACTCTAGGGAACCTGTGACCTCTTTTTTTTTTCTTTTTTTTTTAATTCCTAAACTTCGGGCATTCATCTAGCACCCTATCAAATGTCCTCAACACTTCAAGGACACTGAATGTCCCACTTCTAAAATTTTGAAAAATAAAATTATGAAATTTTTTACTTAATAAAACATTTGTTTGGAAAAATCATAATAATGTGAGAAAAAATTCTACAAACTTTATGTCAAATTTGTTATATATCTACTTTATGCATTTTTCGTCTCTAGTAGAAGTTTAACTCAAAGGTACCCTAATATAACAAATATCCACTTCTCTAATTCAAAAGATTTCACCAGCAAATATCAAAGCTAAAAAAAGTCACAATTTTGTTGAAAAATATAAAATTGTAAAAATGGAGCTGCAGCTTATAAACGAATTAACTTTAAAGAATGTAAATCAAAATATCCCCAGTGTGCCTGTGTACTAAGAGGGGGAAAAAAAAAAAAATTACGAGTATTGGCATCTTCGAGTTGTTTAGTGTGTCCGTGTCTGTGCTTCTTAGCATCTCGGTGAGGGATGACTGTGCAAATAGAGTCAATGTATTGAGGAGTAAAATGATGATGCCTGGTACAAATATTATATATCCTTGAAGAACAGGAAACTGACATAAAAAATATGTTTATCCAGAAAAAAAAACCACTTCAACCAAAAGGTAATCTCCAACGAAAAACAGTCAAAACAAAACAAAACAAACAAAATTTATATATTAATTGTCAGTAATAAGGTGCATGAGCAAACAATTACATACTCCTCTACTCCAGTCCTCAGAGCATCTTCTTCATCTGCATTCCATTTTCCAACTCTTCTCCTCTTCTTTGGTTGTTCACTTCCATTACTAATCAGAGGAGATACACGCCTTCTCTTTGGGCTTGGTAACTTTATTCTACTCCCCTGATCTGGTGATTCTTCTGAAGAATTCTCAATTGAGTCATCCCACTGCAAAGACAATTCCATAAATCACAGCGCATCATCGACACACAAAAAAATTTAATTATGGTACTATACTTCGATCTTTATATAACCTCATTCAATTTGCATGCAGAAATGTGTTAAGGGTGGACACAATCTTTCTGCACAATACAATATCTAAACACATAATAGCTATATAATAAGAGTGCTACAGAGAGATATTTTTAAAGCGTAATGAATGCACTAATAGGAGAAAGGTTCAGCTAGAGTTCTCATAAGAGCTCAATGTAAAAAGGTTCAGCTAGAGTTCTCATAAGAGCTCAATGTAAACAAGAAACAAAGACCATTCATGTGTTCCTACAGTAATTAAACACCTGTTCATGTTTAGGCAATAACAACTGATATAGGTAACAAAGGATTTGTCACCTCATGAGTTCGGGCAGCACTGTTCCTTTCCATTAAGCTTGGTCTCGGTCCATTACTTGGATTTCCTCCATTAGCTCGAACAAATCCTGCAACTTTCATAGCAGAAGTATTGTGTTTGACATGATCCTCTTGTATGGGGTCATGATCTGTACTTCCTCTCATAGCATCAACGACTTCTTCAGCAAATTCTAGTTCATTAGGAAGGGGGTCCTTTACGCTTGCTTGAAGATCCATACGACTTGATTCAAGAGCTTCCTGTATTCTATTAACTTCTGGGGTAGGAGGCAAATTGCATTTGCTACCAGGGCATACTTCCAAACAGTCAGATTCAGAAATCTTAGCTCCTCTACAAGTCCCGGATCTAACCCTGGCATGTTTTTTACCAATAAGTTTCCGACTCAATGCTGCATCTTTTTGCAATGCTACAAGAAAACATGGAACCACCTAACCATGAGGAGTAACTCATAAAACTGAAATAAGCCCAATCAAAGAAAAGAATAATAAAGATGCACGAAATGTATGACCTAATAGGCATGATTATATTTATGGTTGAACCAGAAAAAAATTATAAGATGGTTTTGATCTTGTTAAATTTACTAAGCAAGTTGTCAACTAAAATATCCACAAGATTACCTCTGTTGTCGTTAGTAACAGCGGAGCCAGGATCAACACTCTGCAAAACTGTTTCTTTTGGCAAAATCCGATTGGCATTCGCCAATCCAAGCAACTTCTTCAGTGTCTCATCATTCTTCAATTTATCAGCAACCAACTCGAGAAACGAAGGCCCCCGTCCCTCCCTTTCTTCTTTCAAATAAGCCCTAAGTGCATCGACTGCATTAACATCCTTACTCTTTTTTACCAGCCTCTGACGAACACCATGATCCTGCACTGCAGCCTCCATCTTAAGCCTCCAATCAAACAACTCGTCCGAACCCAACCCTCCCTTCTCCACCTCCTTCTCCAGTTTCCTTACCCTGCACGTCCACACACTCTTCACTGCGTCACAAAATTTGCCCCCATCCCCATCTTCATTTCTCAAATACTTCACTGTGTATTCCACTGCGACTTCGCAATATGCTGTCTTCATGGCATCGGAAACATTTTCGATCCCTCTTCGGTATTCTAGTTCTTCGAGATATTCCAAGTGCTCAAGAGTTGTCAACGAAAGTAAAGAATTGCGTGAGATATCCGACTCCAGTTGCTTCAATAAAAGCATTTTCCTCAGAAAATAATTGTCCTCTGGGATAGGGAAGGTTTCCAGCATAGACTTCAATCTACAATCATCCACGGATCGTTTAAGAGCGAATTCGAGAATCCAACTTAAAATAATGGGATCGATGTCCATGTGGGAACCCTAATTGGTTGTTTGCACGAGAAGAAAAAGGGAATTTACAAGGTTGCAATGAAATTCTAGAGGTTTTGGAAGAGGAAAAGGTAAAGAAAAAAGATGATTTATCCGTTTCTCCCATTATTTCAAAATTCCTATATATTTGTCAAGGAATATTCATCTGAAACTTTTAAAAACTTTTGAGAATATCGATCACTGTCACGTGCGTTGCATGAATTTTATATTTATCGTATTTTTATTAGTGTATAAATTTTAATTTTTTAAAAATTTTTTGAAGCAATATCTAAAAATATTTCCATCATATAAGAAAATAATTGTAAATTATTTTTACAATTACATAGCAGTATGTTATCTAGAAAAAATATGTTTGTATATTTCACGCTTGAATAAGAAATATACAAAATATTTTGCTTGTATTATTTGATAGTATTGATATGATTGAATTGAATATGAAGATTATATTTCTAAATTTTGTTTAATTCAATATTGTAAAATTGAAAAAAAAAAAACTCTCCGCACAGTGCGGAGAGAATTGAACTAAGTGCGGAGAGAATTGAACTAATAAAAAAAGGTACGAAGAGAAAAAAAATTTGAACCATGTGCGGAGAGTTGGTAAACTTTTCGCACAGTGCGGTGTAAAAAAAAATCTTCGCACAGTTCGGAGAGATAACAAACCAACTTTCCGCACAGTACGGAGAGCAAAAAAAAAACTCTCCGTATGTTAATCTCTTCGCACAATGCGGAGAGTTGGTCCGTACCATGACAAAACTTTCTACACAGTGCGTAGAGAGTTGAACCATGTGCGGAGTAAAAAAAAGTGCGAAAAGAAAAAAAACATCTCTGCACAGTGCAGAAAGAGTTGAACCATGTACGGAGAGTTGGCAAACTCTTCGCATAGTACGGAGTAAAAAAAAAAAATCGCATAGTGCAGAAAGATGACAAACTAACTCTTCGCACAGTAGGGAGAGCAAAAAAAATCTTCTTATTGTGCGGAGAGAGTTAATCTTTTCGCACAGTACAAAGAGTTGGTCTGCACCATGGAAAAACTCTTCGCACAGTGCGGAGAGAAATAAAACTCTCTTCACAGTGTGTAGAGAGTTGAACCATGTGCGGAGTAAAAAAAAAGTGGGGAAAGGAAAAAAACCTCTCCGCACAGTGTGGAGAGAGTTGAACCATGTGTGGAGAGTTGGCAAACTCTTCGCACAGTGCGAAATAAAAAAAAAACTCTCTGCAAAGTGCGAAAAGATGACAAATCAGCTCTCCTCACAGTATAAAGAAAAAAAACTCTCTGCACAGTGTGGAGAGTTGTTTTCAAATTCCTTAATTACAAATTAAATTTCAAGATTTTAAATTTTTCGTATATACAACGAAATAAAGTCGAAAAATATGGCTCAAAATCAATTATGTTTTCTTTAAATTATAGTCACGGCTCAATTTCTGAGCATGCAAATCATATTTACGGTATTGGAAATGAGCTTTCTCGTGATTCATACAATGAAACAATATATAAGTTGTGCAAAGAAGGGGATATTGATAGTGAAATGACATTACTTTCACAAATAGAGACTATAGGGTACCACCAAAATTTAATATTTTACACTTGCTTGATAACAGCTCTTGGATTTTGAAAGCGTATACAATTTTCAATGAAATTATACTTTCGGGTTGTATGCTAGGAATTAAAGTGTTCAATGTATTGCTCAAAAGTTATTTGAGAAAATGTCTCTTGGAACTTGCAGATAAAGTATCGAGAATATTTATTTTTCTCTTCACATTGTGCGAAGAGATAGTTTGCCATCTCTCCGTACTTTGGAGAGTCCTTTTTTTTTTGGCTCATGTGCAGATATTTTTTTTTGTCTCATGGAGTTTATTTAGCCCCTGTTTGGCCCCCATTAAATTATATTTTATTTTTCTCTCCTCTATTTTCAACCACACAATCTTCTTTAAAATAATATTACACATAAATCGAAAATTTTTCCTTCTTTTTCAACCACTCATTTTTTCAACAAAACATTATTCCTCCCATTTTCATTACCAAAAATAGGGGCCAAACGGGGGCTTATACTAAAATTATTATTATTTTTTTATGTTGTTGGCATTATGCGTGTGTGAAAAAATATTTGTCAATCACCATAAACAAAATTCTTTACAAAATGCAAAAAATAAAAATATATAATAAATCTTCTTATTACGCTAATAAAATTACAATAAAATTGTTTTTATAAATAACATAAAAAAATCCTTTTTTATCTTCAACAAAAAAAACACATTTAAAAATTAGTAATTTCATAACCACTTTTTTTTTAATTCTCGAAAATATAATTATAAAAAAGGAAACAATATTGAATTACAACATCTAATACTTAAAAAATTCAATATTAAATAAATTTTATAAATTTATAACAAATTATAAATCCATATATGCAGCTTACCGTATTTGCAGGTAGCTTACCGTATATGCTGCCTACCATATTTGCAGCCTACCGTATTTACAAATAACTTACCGTATTTGTACCTTACCGTATATTCTGCCTATCGTATTTTACAACTTACCGTATATGTTGTCTACCGTATTTGCAGCTTACTGTATTTTTATATACCAATTTTTGCACTTACAAATACCGAGAATGTAGAACACCATACATTCACTTACCAAATCGAATTTCAAAAAATTTTCAGATTTTTATTTTTTCAACATAAGCATAAAATAAATATTAAATATATATGAAGTACAAAATATAAATGCATATGAATATGATGCTCAATCTTCAATTTCCCAATATTGAATTACACAAAATTTAGAAATATAATCTTCACATTCAACTCAATCATATCAACACTATCAAAGAATACAAGTAAAATAATTTGTATAATCTCGTTTATTTCTTATTCGAGTATATTTTTTCTAGATGACACAATACTGTTATGCAATTGTAAAAATAATTTACAATTATTTTCTTATATTATGAAAATATTTCTAGATATTGTTTCAAAAACTTTCCCAAAAATTAAAATTTATACACTAATAAAAATACGATGAATGCAAAATTCGTGCAACACACGTGACAGTCACTGTGCGGAGAGTTTTTTTTTTAACTTCGCACTATACGAAGAGTTTGTCAACTCTTCGCACATGGTTTGACATCTCTCCGCACTGTGTGGAGGTTTTTTTAAAAAAAAAAAAAAAAAAAAAACTCATGTGTGGAGGCTTTTTTTTTTTTGTTTTTTTGCTTATGACATTTTATATTTACTAAAATTATTATTATTTTTTAATGTTAGTGGCATGATATGTAGAAGAATATTTGTTTGACATAATTATTTTTTTAATGTTAGAGGGATGATGTGTGGAAGAACATTTGTTTGACATAAACAAAATGGAAAATAAAAAATAACATTATATATAGTAAAATTGGATTCATATACTATTGCATGAATAGTAAACCTCATTCCTCTTTTTATTAGAAGTTAGATATAGGCCGAGTTTGACCTAACTTCCGTTTGATTTTCATTCTATGATCGCAAAAATGAAAAATATGATCGTTATTCAATACATCAAATTATCATATTTGACTTTCTATCTTTTATTTGGGTCTCATAATGATTATATTTTTCATTCTCATTCTTAGAAAAATTGGAATCAAATAGGGCCTACATTTTTTTCAAAAAATAGAATTTCAATAATAATTTGACATCGTTTCAGTTGCACATTCTTTAATAAAATAAAATTATACATAAATTCAAAACTTCTCCTTAGTTTTTAGCAACACATTTTTCATCAATATGCTATCAAAAAGTACATTCTTATGAAAATAATTTGGCTCAAACACTGACTTAATAAGTTTAGGTGTATTCAATTAAAACTTTTAAAAGCTCTCTAAAAATTTAGGTGCATTCAATTAAATTTTTTATAGACTTTTAAAAAGTATCTAAAAGTCACAAGATATTCAATTAAAACTTTTTAGAAATCTCTACGAGTCATGAGGTATTCAAATAGATCGTGACTTTTGAGAAATTCTCTACTTACTCGACTTTTGAACTCTTTGGTGAAAAATATAAATAGCAAATCTCAAAAAAAAAAAAAAAAGTCTTATATACTCTTGAGATTTGTGAAGATTTCAGGGTGTAAAAAAAATATAAATAAATGATAAATAAGGAACATCTTGTTTTTCAATTTTAGAATTTTTCTCATCTCTTAAATTCATTTGCTATTTTTAATTTTTGATTGTTCTATATGTACATAATTACTTTTGAATTGAAATTATATGCAATTGTTTCAAATCATAGAATTCCATGCAATTGATCTTTTTTTGTTGGTTAGAACAATTTGTGATCTTAGAAATTATGTTAATTTCTGAAATAATTTTGATTATGTTCTTAGAAATTGATGTTAATTTTTTATTTTATTTTATTTGCACCAAAATTGAATGATTGGGCCATAACTAGTGATTTTACCCCAAAGTCTACAGTTAATTAGGTAGAAAGAAATATTGAAATTGTTCGTGTATATATAATATATAATGAATTTGCAAGATAAAAAGTCTATGGAATTTCATGGAAGACTTTTATTAATTCTTACCAAATCCATAGAAGTCACATAAAAATTCATAAAATCTACATATTCACACACTTAAAAAAAAGATCTATAGAAGTCTTTAAAATTCCTAATTGAATACACCCTCTTACACAATAAGATATTTTACATGTATATTCAAATTTTTTTGTACATTCTAATTATACATTCTCCAAAAATTTACTATTCAAAACAATATTTTTCATAAAAATGACCACCAAATAGGAGATTATTTTGTTACGGGTTAGAAAAGAATTAAGAATATTTAACTGAAATAGGTTTCTACTAATTGCAACTTTTTATGGTGGTGGTGACAACGAGCCGAGTCGAATCAATTTGCGATCCTAAGCTCGGTATCAGCTCGTCAGAAAAAGGCTCGAGCCGAGCATAGGCTAGCTTGTCTCCAGAAAATGGAGCTTGACACTGACTTTGGCTTGAACATTTGTCCCGCTAAGCCGACTCACAGACTTTTCATTTTCTTATTCAAATATACCAAAAAATTATCGTTAATTTATAAACTACAAAATTAATTTAGCTATTATTTGA